AGTGGCCTTTTCTTTTCTCCCCTGCTGTTTCTCATTATCTCTAGGTGACTTTGACACTTTGTAGCAGTGTGAACCTGGGCCATTCTCCTGCATGTCCTGTTCTTCTTGCCTTGCTTTCTTTTTCTCCATAATACTTAGCATCTGGTGCATCATAATCACTGGTTTATTTCTTTTTGTTCTCCTCCTCCCATGAGAATGTAAGTTCCACAAGGGCAGACTTTATTTTATCCACTGCTTTGTTCCCAACACCTGCAACAGTACCTAGCACATAGTTGGTGTTTAAAAAATATTTGTTGACTGAATGGATGAAGTATTTAACTACCCTTTCTCCTATTAGGTCAAATAGATATAATAATGCTAGTCTCATACGGTGACCTTGAAGATTAAATAAAATAATGTAAGTAAACTGCCTGGAAGACCCACCCTGGGGTAGTAAGGGCTGGTGAATTGAAGTCATTCTTGGGTCTAGTTCTTTCTCTAATTTATCCATCTGTTGAAAAGGTATATATTGAGAAGGTGCTAGGTTCTTTGCCTAGCATATAATGAAGGAAAAAGTGATGCAGAATCTGCCCATATGACCTTACCTGTGGCCACTGTACACCATCGAAATTATCATCACCCTCTTCCTCTGCTGAACACACGTAGAGTGCCCAGTTCTAGGGTGAACCCTGGCCAGACATTTTTACTTCTCTATTTCAGCCTCACTTCAAATGTCTAAATCTGAACTCATGAATTGCCTCTCTTTATGAAAAACATTACATGTTTTTCTGACTTCATTAACAAAAAAACCTACCATTTTCCTTGTCACACAGACTCAAAAGTTTGTAATAATTTTGATTACCCCATCTCTTTCACTCCATACTTTGAATCCACACCCAAGACTTCTTGATTGCTTTTATCATTGAAAAATGTCTTTTATCTGTCTCTACCTCTCCAGTTTCTCACCACCATTCTTCTTTTTTGTTTGTTTGTTTTAGAGATGAAGTTTTGCTCTGTCACCAAGGCTGGAGTGCAGTGGCACAATCTCAACTCACTGCAACCTCCACCTCCCGGGTTCAAGCAATTCTCCTGCCTCAGCCTCCTGAGTAGCTGGGACTACAGGCGCATGCCACCACACCCGGCTAATCTTTTGTATTTTAGTAGAGATGGGGTTTCACTCTGTTGCCCAGGCTGGTCTCAAACTCCTGGGCTCAGGCAACCCACCCACCTCAGCCTCCCAAAGCGCTAGGATTACAGGCATGAGCCACTGCACTTGGCCTCTCACCTCCATTCTAACATCATTTGCCCTGATCCTTGATTTGCTGAAGTGGCTTCAAGACTCAGTGTTGATTAGCTTTATCATCATTTAAGATTTTACTAGATTCTAAGTCTCCTTAAGGAACTGCCTCTGATTGTCTATTATTGTTTCCCCAACACTGGACCAGGCACACAGTAGACATTCAGATGGCTAGTAAATTAAATTATCTTTGATGCTCTAGACTACAGTTCTCAAACTTGTTCTGGAGGTTTATCTAATGGTTAAGAGTAGTTTTCTTGGAAGATCATGTGAGTATATTCCACGTAGGCTCTTCTCTATATCTCACTAATATATACCATATATTTTTAACAAAGTATATTTCTGTTTCTTTCCATGAATGTTTGCTACTTGGTTATTTGTTTTACCATCTGCTGTCACTCATCAACAAGGAGCTTGCACCAAAGCCCTAGAAAAATTTGTATTTGAAGAGTGTAAACCGGTAAATATTTTTTTCTATTAGAGAATACCACTCTTCCATTTTGCTGGTGCTACTCTGTAGAAACATAGTTTGAGAACTATTGAGGGTTACAAAGAAACTACGAGCCATTCAAAGTGTTAGCAGTCTTAGAGACAGGATTACCCCTGTCTCTAAGACTGCTTTTGCCTATTTTGTGGGAAAGAGCTATTTGGTATTTTCTGATGCACTGAAATCACTGTTTGTGTCTCAGGGGACTGATGGATATAAGATGTGTGAGCCAGCAGTCTTCCTCCTCACCCTTTTTTTCCCCTTGAGCTGTCTATGCCTGAGCGCATGGTTGGGAGCCTTAGTCTCTCTCCCACCCAGGAGGGAAATGCTGGTTTGTTCAGGCATGAAGGACATTAGTTTGACCTTCACAATTTTCTTCTGTAACCATCTCCTGAACTTTTCTCTTTAGAAATTGTTTGCACAGTAAGCAAAGCTTATAGAGTTAAAAAAAATGTATTTTTAAGAATATTTTAAAGAAGTTAGGCTCCTGGTATTTCTAAATGTACATTATGACGTTTAGATATTGACCTTGTTGCCCATTTAGAGGACATATATGCTTTCTTCAGGATTCAAATTGGAGCAGAATAGTAACTGTAAATAATTAGATCCCCAAAGAAATCTTTTTATAAATGTTAACACTGAAAAATCTCTTATTCATTAAGATAACTGTCCTTTTCATAAGGATAATAACTATAAGTTAATATGTTTATTATATAATAGTATTCAGACTGTTTCAGAAAAACTTGAATTCTATTTAACAGATGATATTGGACCATAGAATTTAACAAATCATGATTTGGACCTAAGGATCTTTCAACAGTGGAGTTTTGTGTATTTTGGTTTTGTTTGTAAGCTAGAGAAAATTGACTTACTGTAGGTAGATATGCCTAAAGTTAATTTTCATCTGTTGTCAGCTATGTAGTGGCAAAACCCAGCTTCACCATGTGTCTCAGTCCATTTAGTGTTGCTATTGCAGAATACCTGAGGCTGCATAATTTATAAGGAAAAGAAATTTATTTGGCCCGCAATAATGGTCATTGAAAAGGCTAAGATTGGGTGGCTGCACCTGGTGTGGCCCTCAGGGTGCTTCCACCCATAGCAGAAAGCAAAGGGGAGTTGACTTGAACAGAGATCATATAGTGAGAGAGGAAGCAAGAGAGTGAAACCAAGGAAGCCAGACTCTTTTCAACAAGCTGTTCTCTAGGGAACGAATGTCTTCCCTTCCCTTCCCTTCCCTTCCCTTCCCTTCCCTCCCCTCCCCTCCCTCCATCCCTTCCCTTCCCTTCCCTTTCCTCTCCCTCCCTCCTCCCCGTCCCTCCCTTCCCTTCCCTTTCCTTCATTTATTTTAAGTTCAGGGGTACAAGTGCAGGCTTGTTACATGGGTAACCTTGTGTCATGGGGGTTTGTTGTACAGATTATTTAATCACTCAGGTGTTAAGCCTAGTGCCCATTAGTTATTTTTTCCTGATCCTCTCCCTCCTCCGACCCGCCACCCTCTGAAAGGCCCCAGTGTGTGTTGTTCCCCTCTATGTGTCTATGTGTTCTCATCATTTAGCTCCCACTTATAAGTGAAAATATGCAGTATTTGGTTTTCACCCAAAATTATGAAAACCTTGGAAGACAACCTAGGAAATACCATTTAGGACATAGGCCTAGACAAAGATTGCATGACGGTGATGCCAAAAGCAGTTGCAACAAAAGCAAAAATTGACAAATGGAATTTAATTAAATGAAAGAGCATCTGCACAGCAAAAGAACCTATCAGCAGAGTAAACAGACAATCTACAGAATGGGAAAAAATTTTTACAAACTACAGATCCCTCAAAGGTCTTAATATCCAGCATCTATAAGGAACTTAAACAAATTTACAAGAAAAAGAAAACAAGCAACCTCATAAAAGAAGTAGGCAAAGGATATGAAGAGACACTTTTCTTCTTTTTTTTTTTTTTTTGAGACAGTGTCTCACTCTGTCACTCAGGCTGGAGTGCAGTGACGCGATCTCAGCTTATTGCAACCTCTGCCTGCCAGGTTCAATCAAGTGATTCTCCTGCTTCAGCCTCCCAAGTAGCTGGGACTACAGGCGCCTGCCACCACGCCCCACTAACTTTGTATTTTTAGTAGAGACAGGATTTCACCATATTGGCTAGGCTGGTCGCAAACTCCTGACCTTGTGATCTGCGCGCCTCAGCCTCCCAAAGTGCTGGGATTACTGGTATAAGCCACTGTGCCCAGCCAAACAGACAGTTTTCAAAAGAAGACATACATGGGGCCAAAAAACAAATGGAAAAAAGCTCATATCACTGATCATTAGAGAAGTACAAATCAAAACCACAATGGGAACAAATTTATTTTTGAGTAAGAACTCACTTCCATATCCCTCCCTTGTCACAGATCCCATGACCCAAACCCCTCCCACTAGGCCCCACCTCCCAACACTGACACACTAGGGATCATATTTCAACATGAGTTTTGGTGGAAACAAACCACATCCAAACTATTGCACCATGGTACCCAGCAAATATTATAACATTTATTGTGTAAGTTAAGAGATACGATGAAATTTCCATAAGCTGTCTTCAGTAGACAAATGGTATCTTTCTGCAACTGTATCAGATCACATTCATTCAATCAAAAAGAATTACTGAATTTTTAATAGGTGAGATTTTAGCAGTGTAGAAAATAAACATAATCAATACATCCTAGGAGCTCACACTTTACTGTGAACATGCAAATAAGTGAATAATTTAAATAGGAGGAAGTGCTAAGAAGAAAATGTATAGGAGAGTATGCTAGAGAGTGAGGGTGAGGGCATGTCTAGTTAGGGAGGCCTCCTAGGGGAGGTGCCATGTGAGCTGAGCTGATGCATACATGGTGATAAAAGTGAATTGTATGCAGATCCCAGGGGAGAGCAGTCTGGGCTCAGGCACAGTAAGTGTGAAGGTTTGAACAGGGAGCAAGCACTACATTTTCAAGGAACAGAGAGAAGGCCAGGGTGGTTGCAGTATGGTGAACAAGGGTGAGAGTGGTAGGAGAGGGGGCCAGGAAGGTTGTCAGGGTTCAAGTGCTGTAATATGCTACAGGCCATTGTAAGGAGTCTGTATTTTATTCTGCAGGCAGTGGGACACCACCAAGGGTTTTTTTATCAGGGGTACAGCCAGATTTGTAGCCACCAGCTTCACATGTACATCATTGAAAAGTCTCTTTTAAATGGAAATAATTTTTCTTTGTATTTTATAGAATAGACCAGAGGACTGTCATTTGGCCAAAGGATGCTTTTGAAACTCGGCAGGACTTAAATGAGGTAGGTGCAATCATTACTGGTTATAAGAACATTAATTAGCCAATCATGAGTTTTACCATTCTTTTTCACAGTACTAGGAATTTGTTCTGATGAAAACTTAGTATTTTTGCTTTTAAGTGAACTTGTAATGCTTATAGTTCTTTGTTCAATTGGTAATGTTTTTCCTTCTTCTGGAGCAAACATATTTAAAATATTGTTTGTTAGGCCGGGCGCGGTGGCTCAAGCCTGTAATCCCAGCACTTTGGGAGGCCGAGACGGGCGGATCATGAGGTCAGGAGATCGAGACCATCCTGGCTAACACGGTGAAACCCCGTCTCTACTAAAAAAATACAAAAAACTAGCCGGGCGAGGTGGTGGGCGCCTGTAGTCCCAGCTACTCCGGAGGCTGAGGCAGGAGAATGGCGCAAACCCGGGAGGCGGAGCTTGCAGTGAGCTGAGATCCGGCCACTGCACTCCAGCCCGGGCTACAGAGCAAGACTCCGTCTCAAAAAAAAAATATTGTTTGTGAGGCAGCTCATGATGTCTTAGCCCTAACCGAAGTCCAGCAGTCATTTTGTTACACTCTTTTCAGCTTTTCTTCAGGATTATATAACCATGGCTGTGACAGTTAACATTTATAAACTTTTCTCTTAAATTTATTTTGTCTACATCTCTGTTTTTCCTAACGGCTTCTGCAATTTCAAACATAATCATGCTTACTGTTTATCCACTGAGAATGATATAGTTTGGTGTTTGCAATGTGATTTTCTTAGTAGACTTTGAGACATGAAGCCATATTTTCCAATCCAAATGATTTCCCACCAAACTGGACATCATGATGTTAATTAGCTTATTCTGGATTTTCTTTGGAATATGTAATTGAATTCTCCTGTATGAAATTAATGTAACGTAATTATGATGTCTATTATGAATGCCTTTGCTTAAGACATTGGTTTGGAATACTCTGTCTGGCTCTTCTTGTCTTCATTGTAAATTAAGTAGTAGTGGGTGGTATTTAGTATGTCTGATTAGGGTCATAGCAAAGAGAATGAAAAGACCTGATGATCAGATGCCAAAAAGAGAAATGATGGGCTTTAGGCAAATTGTTTATTTGACGTTTTGAAGATGCATTGCTCCCTCCTCTTCCTTTCCCACTCCACAAAAAGGGTACTTCACTAAATTTAGGTGATTTTCTTTTTCTTTTCTTTCTTTTGGTTAGAACTTGGTAGAAATAAATAGCTAAAAGTAAACCAGCTGCTTGGTTAAGCCAAGTTAAATAGCTAAAGTGGTAAAAAATGTCCTAAAGATAAGGACACAGAATTGTTATTTTTGTGTGCATGCATACAGACAGGCTCCAAATTCTAATCTTCCTCATGGTAATGAGTGAAAAAGAGTGTAAGAGAAAAGAGGCAAGAGCCTGAATCAGTGAATGCAGCTGTCCACCCCATCGTGAACAAGCAAAATGCTAGCTGTAAAGGAGCAAAGGTTTGTTTTGACATAAGTGACTAGAAAAATTAGGTGATTGTAAGAGTCAACTCATGACAACTTCCGAGTATTTGGGAGAAACCGTTTCTTGAGCTGCAAACCCATAAGGATGCTGAGATCACTTGAGCATTCCCAAATCGCAGTTGTGAAAAGCTATATTTGAAAATCTGCTTTTCCATATTCCTTCACTACATTGTATTTGCAAATGACATGAAGTATGTGCCAGCTTACTGCGCTGATTGCCTGGGCGTAAGAGCGCTGGATGGAGAGGTCCATCTAAAACAGCAGGCAGCGCCATATTTTAAACGTGCACGCTTCCATACAGAGGTGACACTGCTGATTCAGACTGGTTGAATACAGTATGTGCTGACAGTGGTTTTCTTCCATCAGGGGGTGAACTATATAGATTGACTCACATTCTTTCACGCAGTTTCTGTTGTGGCCAAAATTTGGGAGACCAGAAAAAAGCCTTGGGGAAACTTGAAGGAGGTGCAATATGAATGGGTCAGAGACCATGAAGGAGGGTGGATGTGTTCCCACTCATGGATTGAAATGTCCTATGTCATTCCCAGCATTTCTCAACTTATTGAACACCAAACTCTTTTACAGAAGAATCACCTAATCACATTTCTTGAGGCGACAGAGTCCCTATGGAACACAAATGGGAAACATTGCTGTAATATTTTTAATAGGGATAGAAAATAATAGGGATAGAAAATACAGAAAAGTACACAGGTCATAGGTATACAGCTGAATGAATTCTTACAAAGTATGCAATCAGCACATAAATCAAGAAACAAAATATTACCAGCATCCCAGATGCCTCTCTGTAATTCCTTCCAGTCACTACTCTCCTATGAAGATAACTAGTATTTTTTAGTGTTTTATTCATGGATACACTCTTTTGTGTCTGGCTTTATTTGCTCCATGTTACGTTCATGAGGGTCATTCATGTTTGGTATATAGTCGTAGTTTTCATTTGCTTTGCTGTAACTTATTGTATACTTGTTTCTGGTTGTTGACTATTAAGAGCTGTTGTTATCTATCGGATATATTTTTATTACTATGAGCTGTTTTCTGATCTCTGTACAGCTGACTTTTTACAGGAGTATGCCTCCCATCTCTAAATAAACAAGTAAGGTAGAACTTTTTGTTATATTAGCTCTCTTCATTGGTTTTTGTTCCTTTATTTTATTTATTCACCACCTGCCCACACATCCTTATAAAGAACCTACCAGTTCCGTAACTGCACTCTGTTCCATACCAACTTGCAAGTCTAAAACCAAAAAAGAGTTTCTTGAGCCTCATGAGAATCATAGTCCACAAATTTTTTCCAGATGTTTCCATATGTTGTACCTAAGTAATAATTACAGGATGCTACATATGTACCTTATATATTCCTCAAATTTTACATCTGGTATTTCACTTCTACTATTTGTTCTTCTTTGTCCACTTGCTCTGTGACTGACAGATGGGGCTCAGCTTGATTCCAGAGCTGGCACTTGACCCGAGGTCTTCTCTGCCTGGCACGGTGATACATAGTGTAGCGTATCCGTGTATGTTGTCTCTGTGTGTGTTTCTCATAGTTTCCTAGTGGGCTGGAGAGCTCACTAACTTCTTGTTTCCACTTGGCATGAGTATAGATTTGACACCTGCCAGTCTCATATTTCTTCTGCCAGCCTGGAGCTCCCAGTTTTTGACTTTGAGTCTCTTGATAGGAATTGCATTTTTTATTTCACAATTTTTGATATCTCTGGGACTAGGATATAGGAGTTTTTTCCAGAAAAAAAACTGATTAAATCTCCCTACTGACATTCATCTGAGCTGTATGACTCTATCTCTATAAGACATCAGATTTTGGGGGTTAGGATCTTTTGAATCCTGACAGGAAAATATTGTAGACTTGAGATCTGTCAGTGTCTCATCCACCTTAATCCTTGGTCTTAGTCAGTCTGCCAGTCCGTGTAATTCATAAGCATTCAATAGATCAGAAAGGTACTTGAAAGATAAAATGAAGAAAAATGTTGTTTTACTCTCTGTATGTTTGTAGATCACATTCCTTGATTCAGTTCCAGTTAAGAAAAATAATATATTTATAAAGAAAACTAATGAATCTCTCCTTCCCTGGAAAAAAGAAAAGCCATATTGGGTCCTCAAACTACTGTTTCCAACTCCCAGACTATATATGAAATAGCACCACATCAACTTCTTTTAGTTTTCATTTGTAAACTAAAACTACCAAGAAAAAATTGGTAGACTCAACAGTGAGGGTCAAAAGGGGATGATAATCTATGCTTCCCACCTTGCTTCCCCACTTCTAACTCTGTAGGAAGTTTTGAACTGGGCTAAGTCTAGGTGTCCTTTCGGATATTTTTTTAAGTTTAATTAGATTTTTAAATGACAAATAATAATTGTACATTTGTATATATTTATGGGATACAACGTGATGTTTTGATAAATGTGAACATTGTGGAATGAACAAATCAGGTGAATTTGCGTATTCAACACTTTGAATATGTATCAGTTCTTTGTGATGAGAACATTTAAGATCCTCTATTTCAGCTAATATACAATATATTGTTATTAACTATAGTCACTGTGTGGTGCAATAAAACACCGAAACTGATTTATCCTGTCTAACTGAAACTTTATGCCCATTCACTAATGTCTCCTCTTTCCCTGTCCACCTCCTCCCCACCAGTCTCTGGTAACCCTATTTTACTCTACCAAAAGTTTGACTTTTTTAGATTCCACTTATAAGTGAGATCATATATTGAAAGTGAGGCCTTTCAATTTTAACATTCATTGATTCTACCCCTTTTCCATTTTCCCAGTGCTTTCAGAATGTAGCCATAGCTTCCCATCAGGGATGGAATAAGGCAAACTAAGTGACTCATGATTAAGGCCTCCTCCTGGCCAACCCACCATCTGAAGCCTTATTGGGGAGTGAATAGTAAGTAGTGCAATGGAAGTGATATATGTGCTTAGCACAGTTATTTATCAGTCTCACACAAGAGAGAGGCCACATTATCGTAAGTGAAGAATTGTGATCAACTGGGGATCTGGAGTGGTATGGCTGGAGCAGGCTGAAGCTCTGGGTCACCATGGGCCTTCTTTTCTCCTTTATTATACTCACCCAACCCAACTCCTATGTCATATCATACAGAAGGAAACGGTCACCTCAAAAACTGATGGCCTCTGTGCTCAGGAAAAACACTTTATTTTCTTATCTGATAGATACTTTGAAGGTATTCTGCATTTACCTTTTGGATAAAACAATGTCAGTTGAGTGAATATGAGTTTGTTTTCATTTTACTTCTTACATGGAATTTCAAGGCCATGTAGGTAAGGTCAGCCACAAGCCAATTGATCTTGAAGGAGAAGCTTTAGTGACCTTACATGGATTCCATATTTCCCTTGTCTTTGAGGCTTATTGGCCATGAAACTGTATTGTGCTGGCATTGACCATCACTATCGTTTATCCTCTCCAGGCCTAAGAAGGCAGCTTATAAATCTGAAAAAAATAAAACAATCTT